CCCTGCTGTGGTAGTGGTGTGAACTATTGGGTGTTTAACCCAGGTCAGCCTTTCATTTCAGTAGAAACCATTTCTTCCTCCACAGGCAGGGTGTTTTTGCTTTAATCGGAGTTTTTAATGTAATAATAATTTATATTTTACGTAGTTATAGTGTATATTTGATCCTTAAGCCAAAACAAAACCAAGCCATCAAATTGTCACTGAGTCAGTTGCAACCCTATTGACCGTGTGTTATTGTTGTTAAGAGCCATCATGTGGATTATCCTATAGCGCCACACCAGGAGCCCATTAAAATTTCAAGTTGTTGTTGTTGTTAGGTGCCATCGAGTTGGTACCGACTCATAGCAACCTTATGCACAGCAGAATGATACACTGCCCATCCTGCCAACCTCAGTATCATTGCCACGCTAGAGCCCATTGATGCTGCCACTTTGTCAGTCCATCTCACTGGGGGTCTTCCTCTTTTTCTCTGACCCTCCACCCTCCCAAACATGATATCCTTCTCCAGCGATATGTCCGAAGTATGAGAGACGAAGTTTGGCCATCCTGGCCTCCAAGGTGTACTCTGGCTGCGCTTCTTCCAACACAGATCTGTTGGTTCTCTTGGCAGCCCATGGCACTTTCATTATTCTTCTCCAACACAAAACCAAGCCATCAAATTGTTATTGAGTTGTTTCCAACCCTAGTGACCGTGTGTTATTGTTGCTAAGAGCCATCATGTGGATTATCCTATAGCGCCACACCAGGAGCCCATTAAAATTTCAAGAAGTTATGATAAATTGTGATGAGGAAAGAATAAAGGTTTCTCTATGGCTGCATAGGGTTTCAAAGATTTTGATTGCATTAGAGGATTCTATTTCTTAGTGGGAAAAGTACACACAGAAGTCGCAGAAATATTAAACTCCCAATGATTTTGTTACTCATGGAATTGTAAAATACAAATTAATTCAATCTACATGTTGGAAACCTTATTCTCTTTAAATTATAAACTTTTTTAACCAAGAGAAAAAGCAAAGAGTTACTCATGAAAAGTTAGAAATTAAAATAAACAAAGGATCTAAAAAGAAGAAAATATTTTGTGGGGCTTCACCAAACATGATTAATAAATGATTGTTCTCTTTTGAAATTTTACTTCTTTGATGCATTTAAATGGAAAGGTTTTCAAAACTCATTATCATCCATTTGACAATTTGGTTCTTTTGCATTCTTGGGATCTGAGTTGACCTTCAATTTCAGTGCAAAAAATATGTCAAACACCAACGGAGTTAGTGTCCAAACACTAACTGTCCAGGTCAGAAAACTAGACATAAATACCTAGCCAAGAGAACAGCCATTCTGTGTAAAGACATTCATTCCCAGTAATGTTTTCATTCCATTGTATCAGTGTTAACATTTGTGACTCATTATTTTTAGACAACTGGATAACTAGAGTATTAGGTGAAGGGCACTGTTTAAGAAAAACCTTGATAAAAGACAGAAAAGATCTTCCTTCACAGACATAACTGACTTCACAGCACATAACCACACCACACAGACAGGAAGTCTTCTCTGGAATCAGATACTCTGAAAACCTGACGCATCCCCCTGGTTCATGGGATTTGTAACCAGTCCGAAAGGATCACTCACCATGAAAAGCTCTGCTTTACTCTTTGCCCTTGTCTCTGCTGACTTGAACCAAAACCAAACCAGTTACTGACTAGCCATACATGTGTCAGAGTAGAACTGTGCTCCATAGGGTTCTCAGTGGCTAATTTATCACAAGTAAATCATCAGGCCTTTCTTCCAAGGTGAATCTGGGTGGATTTGAACTTTCACCCTTTTGGTTAGCAGTCAAGTGTGTTAACTATTTGCTCTAGCCAGGGACTTCCTTCATGTACTTGAATATTTCTTCAGACCCACTTCAGGTCTCTATAGAAATTCAAACAACTATCAATTTATAGAACTTATAGTTTACCATGCATCTGCTCTTTAATATCCCCATTTTACAGAAGAGAAAAACAAAGCTTCAGAGGCAAAGTCTCTCTCCTGGAATCTCCTGTTACAAAGTTCTAAACTTGAAATCTAATTCAATAAACAACAGTTTCCACAAGCTGCCCATCCCATCTTAACTTTGCTGTTTGATTTTGTTTTTCAAAAATCTTTTTCTTAAATTCTGTGTTGTGCTTTCTTGATGAGAAAGCAAAGGAGTGGCGCTTGAGGAGCATTCTCCATTCCGACCTTCTAGAGTCTTCTAGATGAAAAATATTCCCATACTGGAAGCCATGGGTGAGCATTGCTTGAGTTTGATTACTTAGACTGTTCAGTGATTTTTACTTTAGGAATTAGACAGTATCTGTCTTAAGCAGCAGTTGGTCTGTGTACCAACACAAGGCCTAGGAATATGAGATCATCAGCAACTAACATTGATTTACTCATTGCATAGGCAAGGCAATGCTACCAAGGCTTTCATGAATGCAGGTGTGTCCAAGGGGCCAAGATTGAGGATGAACCATCTGTGATGAAACACTTTTAAGCCACCATGTCTTCAAACTCATCAGCATTGAACTTGGTGAAGTCCCACTTCTTGGAGATGTGGATCTTCTTGCACCCAGGGAACATGAACATGGCCCTTGATGGGGCCTCAATCATATGCTCCTAGTTTTGAAGCTTGCTGCAGATGGATATTATGACTTGGCCAAAGGGGACTCTAGCCACAGTACCCTGGGGTTTTCCAAAGGTCCTCACATATCCATCTGGAGCCAAGGTGAGGGACAGCAGAGATTAGCAAGGTCAGAGACAGGAAAGGACAGGAAAGGGCTATCTCCACAGTCTCTCAGGGCAACCAATCCATGCCAACAGGCTGTGTACTCTACCAGGGAAAACAGTTGGCTTAATTGGATGTAACCCCTTGCTTTTTTTTTTTTTAATTGTTGTTTAAAATATACACAAGAAAGCATTCAACAGTTTCTATATTCACAATAGAGTGACATTAATTACAATCTTCAATTTGGGCAATCATCTTCACCATCCTTTTAATTTTCCTCCCCCACTGACATAAACTCTCTTCCCCCTAATCTATCTTCCTATCTCACGTGTTATTAACAATTTGATCCCCCATTGTAAATTATTTAAAGAGAGCAAGGCTCTGGACAAACATTCTTTACTAGGTAAACTAGATTATTATTTGATTTAAGGAACGTACTTTTGGTTTATGATTTATAGTTTCAGGATTAAAGATGATCTCAGGGCAATAGTTTTAGGGGTTCATTCAGTCTCAGTTGCTTTAGGAAGTGCTGAATGCTGAGAATTGAAATTCTGATCTGCATTTCTCTACACTACCACCCTTTTGACTAGGATTCTGCTCTAGAATCTTGGATCAAAATGTTCAGTAATAGTGGCTGGTACACCCCTATTTTTATAACTTTTTAAAAACTTTTTTTTTGTGAATTGAGTGAAGGTTTACAGAGCAGATCATCAGCTTTACAGTCAACGAATTATACACTTTGTTTCACCTCAATGAATTGTAATCAGTTATAATCCTTTCAGTCATCAGGGATCCCACTTTCTCCTTGTGTTTCTTATTTCCATTCCTCCTCCTTTCCTAACCCTTCTGAACTTCATCCTTAGATAAATGCTGCCCTCTTGATATCAAATGGTTGAGCATTCATTCTGTGGTGTGCAACCCCTTATCTGATTAAAAAAAAAAAGGATTTAGTCAGATGTTCACTCACATCAAATAGTACCAATCCTGGACAAGACCTTAGAAATGTTCAGTCACAATGAGCCCCTCCTGTGTCAGGTCTGAGGCAGAGAAGGAAATCTCCCTAGGGAGAGGCAGTGGCTTTCAGACTCCTCCTTAATCAATCTGTCCAGTCTTCCGACTGTTCACCTCTGATAACTTTGCATAAACCCATAGGATTCTCAACAAGTCAATCCCAGTGCGGTGTGAGGTAATAGCTCACACTCTCCTGCCTTAATTTTTCCACAGTAATTGTGTAAGAGCACAATAAAATTTACTTTACCCTCATAAATTCTTAGTAAGAAATTTACAGTCATAACTTTATCAACAAGTGTTACAGAACTATCAGTTGGATAGAACTCAGGAGGACTGAATCGCAGCTCATTTGGGTCAGGGACTGTATGTTTGGTGGAGAGATCGCTCATGTTGCTGCTGTGTTCTCACATTCCACTGTCAGAATCTTTGGTCTTTTCCAGGGCCAGTGGTGATGCACACACTTAAGTGCTCATCTCTTAACTGAAAAGTTGGCAGTTTGAACTCACCCAGTGGCTTCATAAGAAAGACCTGAGATCTGCTCCTATAAAGGTTGTTGTTGTTAAGTGCCGTAGAGTCGGTTCCGACCCATAGCGGCCCTGTACAGGGTTTCCAAGGCTGTAAATCTTTACAGGAGCAGAAAGCCTCATTTTTCTCTCACGAAGTGGCTGGTAGTTTTGAACTGCTGACCTTAAGGTTTGCAGTCTGATTTGTAACTACTACGCTACCAGAGCCCCTTGATTATATCCTAGAAAATCCTATGGGACAAGCCCTAAGGGTCTGCCACATGGGGTTGCTTTGAGTCAGAATTGACTCTGTAGCACCTTGTAACAACACTAGGTCTTTCCCAAGGGCAGTGGTGACTCAGTGGTAGAATTCTCACTTTCATGCTGCAGGCCAGGGTTTGGTTCCCAGCTCACAGGCAGCCAGCACTTGTCTGCCAGGGGAGGCTTGTGTGCTGCTATGCTGCTGAACAGGTCTCAGCAGAACTCCCAGAGTGATAACAGACTAGAAAGAAAGGCCTGGTGATGTATTTCTGCTGATTTCCAGAAGGGTGAGGCAGGACGGGGCAGCATTTGTTCTGTTATGCATGGGGATGCCATGACTTAGGGGCTGAACAGAGATCTAATGACAAAAAATCTTTTCTAAAGTTCTCTTCAAGGACCAAACCATCCTCCTTGAGAACTGATGTCAGAGTGGTTGATGGTTGCGCTCTCTAACTATAATAATATTCCTGTGTTTCTATCAGAATGTGAAAAATACCGACTGGTTCCAAGAGTGGCCAGATGCCTACGCAAAGCACATCTACAGCTCCGAGGACAGAAGCGCGCAGAGGCACCTGAGCAGCTGGGCCATGCGCAACACCAACAACCACAATTCTCGTATCCTCAAGAAGTCGTGCCTGGGCGTGGTGGTGTGCAGCCGTGACTGCTCTGCTAAGGAGGGGCGCAAGGTCTACCTACGCCCGGCCATCTGTGACAAAGCCAGGCAGAAGCAGCAGAGTAAGTGGAGCAGGCATCCACTTAGATATTCCTGCCAAGACAGGCCAATCCCACACATCCCACTTCACACCACATTGTGGAAAACAAAGGTTGTTACTACATATGAAGAGAGCCAACCAGATCTCAGGAGCCCAGTGTCAGTCCCACTGACCTGCCATGCCCCAAGCCCCCATCATTAACCCATCCATGCCTTTGGGTCAATGAGACACTTGACTCAAGATCCCAGTGAATAGAAAGATGTAGATCAGTATCAGATGTAGTATCAGCTTATCATGCAAAGTTCAGGAGAAAATAACTTATCAGATTTGCCCCTGACTTCTTGGGAAATGGGTCCCTAAGTGGTTTCCATGAGGACTTGGATCAGGAGTCAGAGCAATGGGATTCAATTTGCGGTTAGACTGAATCCCATGCCGTTGAGCTTTATGCTACAATTACATGCTGAGATACTTGTTAATTTTATTTACTTATTTATTTTCACCATGTCATTGAATTGTGAACTAGATATGCACCATGTTCTCTGTGCCTTGCCCACTTCAGACCCCAGATTGCTTTATGTTTTCTTTTTCATTTGTCTTTAAAACTTGCTCTAAAGTCAGGAACTGATATCCGTCATTTACACCATAATAAAAACTTAAGTCGCTGTGTTACCTCTTCCATGTGACTCTGCCCCATTGACTCTTCGTTCTAATTGTGAAATGAAAAACATTTTTTTTTCCATCCTTTTCTCTCTATAAAGCATTTCAGTAAATAGGTAAGGAGGAGCTTTATGCCCAGGAAAGCTCTTCCCTGACTTGTGAAAGGTTCCACAGGGCTGTTGTAGTGGCCAGACCACCGAGGGTTGAGGGTTGGTAAGCAATACCCAGCAGGTAAAATAAAATAAAATCCACTGCCATCAAATCTACTCTGCTTCGCAATAACCCTGTAGAACAGAGGAGAACTGCTCCTTTGTGGTTTGGAGACTAAATTTTTACAGAAGCAGACAGCCTCATACTCCCCTTCCCCCCGCAGCATGGCTCGTGAGTTTGAACCACCAAACTTGCAGTTGTTGTTGCTACTGTTAAGGACGTCGAGTTGATTCCAACTCATAGAGACCCTATATAGGGTTTCCAAAGAGCAGCTGGTGAGCTTGAACCACCAATCTTGCAGTTCAAACTTCTTTGCACTCTGGCGCATTAACCCACAGCGCCACAGCAGGACTCCAAACTTGAGTTAGTAGTCCAATATTTAGCACACTTCACTGTTTAGCACATGGCTCTTTATCCAGTAGATGAAATCCTATAAAACATAGTGCCATCCTGGAGTCAAGGCTAAGTGGGCACAGCAGCCCATACTCAGGAGTTGTCTGACGTGGGGTCTGTGGTCACCCTTCTCTGCTCTTTTGTAGAAAAGCACTGCCCCAATTGTGACGGACCGCTGAAACTAGTTCCTTGTCGAGGCCACGGGGGCTTCCCAGTCACCAACTTCTGGAGGCACGACGGACCTTTCATCTTTTTCCAGGTTGAGTTTGAGTTAGAGGCCTGTGTCTCTGTTTCTCTTTAATTCAGCAAATGTTTCCTAAGAATGAGGAGCTGGCTGACGATGCACAGGGGTGGGAGAACCTGCACAGTTCTGGAGGGCTCCTGCTCTGGATGAACAGATGCCAGCCAGCATGCAACAGGAGGGGAGCCTCGGTAGCATTGCTCATCTGATCACAGTCTAGCTCAGTGTGCTTCAATAAACCTGGGTTTGAGTACTTGCACTGATTTTTACTAGCTCTGTAATTCCCAAACAAATCACTTTCCTCCCGTATGCCCCAGTTTTGCATAAGATGTGGGTATTAAAAACTACTACTGGAGGCAGAAAAGCTCTGGTGGGCCAAATGGCTTGCATTCAACCACTAACCTAAAGATTAGTGGTTTGAACCCCCCCATTTGCACCATGTAAAAAAGGCCTGGTGATCTCCTTCTATAAAGATTATATCCAAGAAACACCTGTGGAGCAGTTCTACCCTGTAACATGTGGAGTTGCCGTGAGTTAAAATGGCCTATACAGGAACGATGGCTATGGTTTTGTTTGTTTTTAATGGGATAGTGCTGTAAACAAGAGTGAACGATTAGACCCTGGCATCAGATTGTGGGGATTGGAATCCGTGGATAAGGTGCTGGTCAATCGGCCCTCCCCCAAACGTCTTGATTTGTAGCCTTTATCAATTTTCATATTATACCTACATGGAAAATAGAATGAAAAAAATCATGGATATTTTCCATGAACTTTTTGAAGCCCCCTCATATTCCTACCGTGTCCAATGTTAAGCTACTGGCCATTTTCAATAAGCAGTTAGCTAAATTCCTGAATATTTTACAGTCAGCTCTCAGCTGGAACGTTACCCCCTTTATTCACTATGGGTGGCAACACAAATGATGTAATAGTTCCCTGCCTCAGTTTCCTGTTCTGCAAACTTAGCACCTCATAGGGCTGTGCTGAAGATGAAAATGAGATAATACATGCTGTATCTTAATACATTTAATAAACCCGGCTTATTCCTGGTGGGGCACTGTGGGTTAATATGCTGGACTGCAAAGTCGGTTTGAACTGCAAGGTCAGCAGTTCAAGCTCACCAGCTGCTCCTCTGAAATACATAACAAGGTGGTTATGTGTCGGAACCGACTCAATGGCACTTAACAACAACAACTGTTCTCACTATGACTGTGACTTTGAAAGTTGGGTGAAAGGCATCACAGAAAAAGCATCATTGGCAAAGATGTGGCGGCAGGAAAGAGCATGGTGACCTTGTTGTTGTTGTTAAGTGCCATCGAGTCGGTTCCGACCCATAGTGACCCTGTATGTGGTGACTTTAGGAGATACTTAAAAGGATTATCCAATTTTGTGAAAAGACTTAAGAACACCACCACCCAGTCATAGGGCAGGCCACTGAGTTAAAGTAGATATGTCACATACTACAATCTAGTCTTTATTTTCCTGTTTCCTATTTAAGTCAAAGGGAGAGCATGATCATCCCAAACCAGAAACCAAAGTAGAAGCAGAGGCAAGAAGAGCGATGAAGAAAGTACACCTGGCACCTTCCTCTGCCTCTCTGAAGTTGAAGGGGAGCTCAGAGACAAAGGTAAATGTTCACCATGGATGTTCAAAACATACAGCCACATGCCAGTCTATGGTGAGGGCAGAGATTTTCCTGGTCCCTTACATAAATGAAAACCAAAACGTACACACCATTGGGCTGGTCTACAAGCAAGCATCCTACCACAAAATTTTTACTCTTTATTTCTACCATCTTTGTAGCATATTCCTAATCATAAATTCCACATACGTTTAGAGCCAGAAATGTAAAAAGAAACTTGAATTGGTACTTAACCTGTGTTTGACACTCTGTTTTTTAGCTCTATCAGAACCAACTTACTGAAACTATTTCCACAAAATATTAACCTGATGCTGCTCCTGGCCCCCAAAATTTCTATCCCCCCCACCAAAAAAAAATATGATGTCCTTAGCATACTCTACCAAGTCTTGAAAGTGCTCATTCAGGGATACTCCTCGAAGACCAATTGGATGTGAAGTTCATTCTTTATGAGAATATTGCTATAGCTATGTACGTTTGTCTGTTTAATTGGAATAGTAGTTCCTATACTTTTTCTATCACTCAGTTGTACTCCACACTTTTCTGGAGAAGAGAGATGGAGCTGGCCCATCCCTGGAAGCTCTAGGCATTCTCTATGGAGGCTTCTAAACATCTTATAGAAAAATTGATCATTTGAGTCTGTCGTAGGAAAATGTGAGCCCCTGAACCCAAATAGCTGGTCCCTCATTTTTTTTCTCAGTCATGGGACAGTCACTTGGCATTTTCTCCTATCCCACCTGGTCACAACCTTTTCTCTCCATCCTCCAAGCCCATCTTCTTATTTGTCTGATAGTTATATGTAAACGCACAAATACCTTACTTCTTAACCAAACGCTTTTATTCACCATGAAGTTAAATGTAGTCTTTATGTTATTGTTTCCTTTTTTTTAATCATCTTTTTACTTAATCATCTCCTTTAAGGTAAAGGGAGAGCATGATTAGATAAGATATGTCTAGCTCTAAGACAATATACCTCCTCTGCTTATACAAATAAATGTACCATTTTGTGATAGGTGCACAGTATAAAGAACATAATGTCATTTAGTTGGACATGTAAAAGCTGTTGAATTGGCAAATGCTTTGTAATACACATTTTTACCACAGTGAAAGAAAGAAGGGGCCAGAGGAGATGGTGAGAGGGACTAAAGGAAGAAAGAAAGAGAGGAAGGAGGAGGGAGAAATAAATGAATTCATTTACCACTTTTTATTATAGAGGACACGAATACAAAAAGTCTGTTGGAGGGAAAAACAAAAACAACAACCCTAGTCTCTCAGATCCCAACTAACATTAAACATAGAAAGATCAAGGAGGAAAATGGGGTTTTCTTTTAAAGAGTGAGGGAAGATAAAACTCCCCAAGAGCTGCACTGAGTGTAAAATCAAATCTTTGATGCTGCATTTTGATTTTTCTTTACAGATTTTTCCCAATAACATTTAGATATAAGCTCTGCATTTGAGGATGCAACATTTAAAACACATTTATGTCTCCTCAGAGCAAAGGGAAATTCAGCTCTTACTAGTCAGTGACTTTAAGATAGAAATGCAAGCAGCTTCTTTCAAGTCTTGGGTGGTTGAGGTAAAGCAGATCTGTTGTTTGAACTTCAAGTATGTAAGGAATGAGGAAAAGCTGCAGGGACACTTACTTGTACAGAACGTCTTGTGGCAGCCTGTGGTAGTTGTGTCAATGTGCTTAACTTATTAACATGTGTCTTTCGTTTTGCTTTCCAGCCTCTTACAGGTGAATTGCAAAGTCGGGAAGGTTTACCTTTAACTTGGTCTTTCCAGGAAGGTATCCAATTGCCTGGTAATTACAGTGAGCCTTTCATTCCTAACCCTCCCCATCAGAGGTCACTGAATGGCTGCTTGTCCTTCTCCAAGAGTTATGGTTTGGGGGCCACCAATGAGCTGGCTGATCCTCCTTCCAGCTTGGGCCCCACTAAGCTCTATGAGAAATGCAAAGTGCCCAGCAGTAGGATCTACAGTACTGCAGACCTGCTTCAGCCCTCTGTCTCTGGAATCTACCCGGATTACAACGATTTGCAAACATGGAATAAAAATGTGGCTTACGGGAGAAATCCTCTTAACGACAAATGTTGCCCCAGTTATCCTTTTGCTCTGGCCAGCTGGCCTTACAACTTCTCCACTTCCCTGAACAATTCCGAGCCCTGTTTCCAGCAGATTCCTGTAGAATCGTCTGCAGCCAAACCCACCTGTCACCCATTATGGCCAAATCCAGGGGGCGATCTTTATGAAGAGAAGGTGCATTTGGATTTTAACAGCTACTTCCCTTCCACCACGTACCATTCACCCCAAGAAGATCCTTTTCTTGTCACCTATTCCTCTCACCCTCACCATCAATATTCCCTGCCAGCAAAGAGCAGCAAATGGGATTTTGGTGAAGAAATGAGACGTATGGGTTTAGACCACTGCAACAATGAAATGCTTCTAAACTTCTGTCCTTTAAGATAACTCAAGACTTTCACAACCCCCCATGAAAGCTGTTTGGGGAAACAACTGAAAGAATTCGTGGGGGTGATAGTGGAGGGGAACAGTGAAAAATACAAATCAAACCCATGACCATCGAGTTGATTCTGATAGAGATAAATCGGAATCCTGAAACAAGCTGAGATCAAGCCTTCGTTCTTCACACAAAAAGTAACATTTAGGGCCGCTTCTTCATTCTTGGACTCCCATTCTTAGCAAGAAATGGAGACTTGACTCATCTGTGAAGTAAAGTGGTTCTGCGTACCTTCATGTTGTTTGTGGCTCTCATTACCTCCGTGGTGTGCTGTCCATTGATTCTCCATTGCCCTTGATGCATATCAAACAGTGTTGTTGAGTGCTGTCCAGTGGATTCTGACTCATAACGACCTCTCTGACCTTGCACTTTACAGTTCAGTGCTTATCCTACAGTGCTAACAGTGGTGGTGGTGGTTGTGTGCTATCAAGTCAGATCCAACCCATAGCAACCCTGTATGGGATTTCCAAGGCTGTAAATCTTTACGGGAGCAGAAAGCCTCATTTTTCTCCTAAGGAGCAGCTGCCAGATTCGAACTGCTGGTCTTGCAATTAGAAGCCCAACTGAAAACCCACTACACTACTAAAGAGATGTAAAAAGCCTACCTACCTAGGATCACTACATTCAGATTGTGGTATTGATGGAGAATATTGAATATACCATGGACTGCCAGGCAAAAAAAAAAAAAAAAAGTCCATCTTAGAAGAAATGCAACCAGAATTCTCTGTAGAAATAAGGCTGGTGAGACTTTGGCTTACTTACATTGGACATGCCATCAGAAAAGATCAGTCAGTCTTAAGAAAGAATATCCATAGTATTTGGCAATGTGGAGGGTCAACCAAAAGGAAGGGATTTCTTAATGAGATGGACAGACACAATGGACTCAAACATGCCAGCAGTCATGAAGATGGCGCAGAACCAGGTAGCATTTCATTCTGCTAGAGATAAGATCCCATGCGTTGGCGCTGCCTCATCAGCAACTAACAACAGCACCTAGAATCACATGGCACTTTCTTGGGAACTGTGAGAAGGAAGGAGCTATGAAATATTTAATAATTTTTCTAGTTCTGGGACTTGTGTATAAAATCCATGTTTTCTCATTCATTTCTAAGACTTATCAAACAAGAACTGTGATCCAATTCCATTCAATGAGACTCAAAATCAAATGGCAGCACAAAGAGAAATTTTAGTGGCAGCAAATGGTCTGTCTCCTCTGTCTCTCCTTCCTTTCCCTTCTTTTTCTATGTCTTTACTTCCAGTGGGGTTTAGATTTTGTCCAGGTCATCTTTATCCTTTATAGCACCTGACTCCATTTCAGGTTCATAATATGTGCTGGATACATGTCTATCTAAAAAAAAGTCTTGGGCATGGACTGAGTTTGGCCATGTTCCATAGACTCCTGTTGACCTTAAGATGAGAGAGAGAAGGGAAAGGGTGGGTTGGTCTGAAGTTTCAGGAGACTTGGGTCTCCTGAGCCCATGAACACTGACCTAGCCACTGGGGACTAGAGCTGAGAATGAAGTGCATAACTGACATGAAGTAGGGGGAGGCATGCATGAATATCCAAGCTTACAGAAAGTACTTTTGACCTAGCTTGGATGGCTTGATGATCAGAATTCAACCAGAGGAAGATAAAGAAATTTGATACAGGAAGCAAGTGTAAATTGCTATAATTTGATGAACTTGACCTTTGCTTATGGATGTAGTAGCTCAAAATACCAACCAAGAAGGAAGGAGTCTTCACATCAAAGATCAAGCCTATCCCGTCAGATACAGGGTTGATATAGACAGGGAACTTATACATTGGCTACCTAAAATAGGGGGCAGAGGCTATAAAGGCACAAAGTGGCTGACTTACAAATTTTCAAGAGGGAGTTTAGTTTCAGAGTGAGGAGGGAAGGTAGAATCCCTACTGAACAGTTTTCATCTTGTCTAGATGTGTATGGTGAAAGGAAAAGGAGTAGGGTATTTTTTGTGTGTATGTTTTTTGATCCAATTTTTGTTGTTGTTAAGTGCCTTCGAGTCGGTTCCGACCCATAGCAACCCTGTACAGGGTTTCCGAGGGTGTAAATCCTTACGGGAGTAGAAAGCCTCATCTTTCTCCTGCGGAGCGACTGGTAGTTTCGAACCGCTGACCTTAAGGTTCGCAGCCCGATTCATAACCACTACGCTACCAGAGCTCCTTTTGATCCAATAGTGAGTATTAATTATAATACCTGATTGATTGTCACCATGGTAAAGGTAGAAATTCTGTAAAAAAAACAAAAAAAACAGGGGAGTAGTTAATCTTACAGTCCAGGAACAGAGAACCTAGGATCATTGACGGGGAGAGGAGCATGAGTGGAATGTGGGAACCTATCCAGAGAAGCAGCAACATCAGAGATGGAGGCAGAGATAAGGACATGGAGAGAGAGAGAGCTACTGAGGACTCTAGACTCATGAAAAGAGAAAAGCTGTGTGCTGGTGGCCAGGAGGCAGGATTACAAAATGTGCTCATTGGTTGCTTAAACGATTGTATATTCCTGCGTGTTTTTGTATATATCAAGGGAAAAAGGAGAGGGAATAAAGGCAAATACTGTTGGCTGATTCTGCATGGAGAGGATTGTAATAATTTAAATGAAGCCAAGTGTGATTGGTTGAGTACAAAGCTGACTTCCTGCAATGAAAACTATAAGTTAATTTATAATAAAAGCTTTTAAAAAAAAATAATCTTGGTGTAATGAATATGACCTTCATTACCCAACCATATTTTGAATGCCAGTGCCTCTTCTGAACTGATGTACTTTACAATAAAGCTCAACTTGGACATCATATCTGGAAAGAATGATGTAATACATACAGTTTACAAAATAAATGATTTCATTCTTAATTGAATGGTAATAATTACACACAACACAGATTTCAAACATGAAAAAACCGTCTCCTAGTCTTCGTCTCCTTTCTGAGGTATAATTGGCCAGTTTCTAGTGCTTTCTTCCAAAGATTAGAAATACTCTGTGTATGTGTGTATGCATATATGTATATGTGTGTGCCTGTATTAATATACACAAATGTACACAATATTGATTATCTTTATTCATTATTCAGTAGTTATAGTCTATAATGGACTCCTGATGGGGTGCTTTAGGATCAGCATTGGACAGTGAATCATAAAGTCAGGAGTTCAAACCCACCAGCTGCTCCTCAGAAACCCTACACAGGGTTGATATAAATTGGAACCAACTCAACGGCACTAAAAGGAGCTCTGGTAGTGTAGTGGTTATGAATCGGGCTGTGAACCGCAAGGTCAGCAGTTCGAAACTACTAGCTGTTCCGTGGGAGAAAGATGAGGCTTTCTGCTCCCATAAAGATTTACAGCCTGGGAAACCCTCTACAGGATTGCTATGAGTTGGAACCAACTGTACGGCACATAACCAACCAACAGCACTAAACAACAGCAACAACATAGTCACATCACAAATATGAAGACCATACCAGTCTTGCTCAACTTTAACTTGGAATTTTTCACAGCTCAAATAATTTTAATGACTTGGGTGAATTCATGAATGTAAAATCTGTGAATAGTTAGGATTGACTGTATGCATGAGTGTGTGTATAAACATAAAAATGGTACCGTCCCAGATTCATTTCAAAACAGTTTGGACATCAATACCATACAAGCACATTGGATTATAAATTGACTCATGTTTAATAGTATGTGATATATTACAAAAAATCCCTGGTGGTGCAATAATTAAGTGCTTGACTGCTAACGAAGAGGAGGACAGTTTGAACCCACATATCACTCTCGGAGAAAAGACCTGGCAATGTGTTCCTCCTGTAAAAACTGCAGCCTAGGAAACTGTGAGGCAATTCTACTTTGTCTTACAAAGTCACTGTGAGTCAGAATCAACCCAATGGCACACATGTTCCATGACTACTATAATTTACGTTTGTAATCCCATATTGATAGACACTCAGACTGGTTCAAATCTACTAGATTTGTTGGTCTATGTGCATAAGACATAATTCAGTTTAGTAAAGAGTTACAATGCATACACATGCGTCAGCACCATTCAGGCAAAGAAATAGAACTTGGCAGAACAGCACACGTTACTCATTCCAAATGCAACATTCACTAAGGCAAGAAGAGTAGGACAAATCTGAAGCCCGTTTTTGCACAACTACAGAACAGTTTTTGAAGAAAAAAAATGTGGCCTTGAGCTATTTCGCTTGTTTATCAGAACATTTCAAATGATGGTGACAAGTCTATGACTTAGTGGGAAAAAGTCCCCAATGTTGGAGTTAAATGTCTCAGATTCTGCCTAGGGCACATTCTACCTTGTCCTTGGGAAAGTCAGGCTTTTCTGGCCTCAGTGTCCTCATTTGGTTTTGTTGTTAGGTGCCATTGAGTCGGTACCTACTCATAGAGACCTTATGCACAGCAGAATGAAACACAGCCCGACCTTGGGCCAACCTCACTACTGTTGCCATGCTTGAGTCCATCGATGCTGCCACTTTGCCAATCCATCTCGCTAGGGTCTTCCTCTTTTTCTTTGACCCTCTACCTTACTAAACATGATATCCTTCTCCAGGGACTGGTCCCTCCTGACAATATGTCCGAAGTATGAGAGACGAAGTTTGGCCAGCCTGTCCTCCAGGGAGCACTCTGGCCTCTTCCAAAATGGATCTATTGGTACTTTTGGCTGCCCATGGCACTTTCAATATTCTCCTCCAACACCATAACTCAAAACTGTCTTTTGGTTACAGATGCAGAAACGGCTCTAATGTTTATAGATTGTAATATTAGTAGTAATTTGCATTATCCGAGTCTAGAAGCTACTCCTTTGGCCATCACTTCCTGGTTCCTAGTGATGAAGGTATCCCCACACCAGTTAGCAGAACAAGGGTCCCACCCATTCCCCCAGGGTGGCCTTGTGCTGGTCCAGTTACCCTGGCCTGGAGCTCAAGT